TGATTCTCTCTCATCGTGGATGTTTCTGTCTCTCTCCCTCTCTCTTCCTCTCTGAAATCAATAAAAATATATATATTTTTAAAAACTATTCCAAACTCTGGACCGAAGGACCCACTCAGAGGCCAGCTCGACGCCTGGACGTGCTGAGAGCAGAAAGGCCAGGGCGTGGGGGGCCCGGGATGTGTGTGGGGAGGGGAGGGCGGGCTGGAAGGAGGGGAGACGCGGGCAGAGAGTGAGCGCTGAGCTCAGACCCCGCCTACGTGATGAGTTCGGCATCCGTGGAAATGGCCTTGGTTTGATTGAAGGGACATATCTGAAAAGGGCTGCGCCATGGAAATACCTTTTGTGGTTCCCTTTGTGTGGGGGGACAAAGGAGGGGGTGCGCAAGCAGCCCGGCCCGTTCCGTCGGCGTCGGCGAGTCTGTTTCTCGCGCAGAGGACGGACCGGCTGAGCTCTCCAGGACCCCCGGGCACGGGACACGCGTGGCCTCTCGCATTTCTATTCCCTCTGGTCATGGTGCACGTGGCGGGCTCTGCCGCCAGAGCCCCTGCCTCTGAGTTTGCTAACGTCCACCTTGACTCTTGGGTGGTGTCACCAAAACAGGAGGCCAGAGACATTGGTCCAAATGTCAGCTTCTTTGCGGGGAAGGGAGGGGGCGTGAGTCCCGGCGGGGGTAGCGGACGTAGGCTCCTTCCTGGCCCCGGCCCTGGTCAGGGCTCGTGCAGGAGGCAACCAATCAATGTATTTTTCTCACGTCGATGTTTCTCTTTTTCCCTCTCCTTTCCACTCTCTCTAAAAATCCAAGGGGGAATATCCCCGGGTGAGGATTAAAATAAAAAAGATTAGGAGAATAGGACAGAGGGAAGACCTCCTGCTTGGGAGGTGGCACCAGGTACATCTGGACCCCGTCTCTGCACACCCCACACACATGCACAGACACGTACACACACACACACACACACACACACACACACACACACACACGTGTGCAAGCACGCATACGAGTCCCATAATTCCACACTAAGTGGTGTGCACGGCCCCGCACCGCTTAACTGGAGCCTCGCCCATTGAGTAAGCGCTTCCCTCTCTGCCGTTCCCCAGCTGCTGCCATCTGCCCAATTCCAGTCACTTAACTGTTACTTAAAAACCTTAAGTCTCTCAGCCGCATCGGCCGATTGTACGGCACGTGTGAGCCTTAAGGACACAGGTCACCCCGTTCGCCTTCCCTGGGAACAGCGTCCTCTGAGGAAGCTCAGGCCTCCGGCGGGCGAGGGTGCAGAGGGGCCTGGGACGGACAGGAGGGCAGGGCAGGGCTGCTCCCCGGCCGGCAGGCTCCCCCTCAGCAGCCGCTCCTCCTCCTCCCAGGCCCTGCTCACCCTGCTCTGCGTGTGGCAGCGTCTTCTCACTTCTCCATCCACAGCTAAAATGTCACTTCCAGCACGGCCGGCCGGTGGGGCTCAGTGGTTGAGGGTTGACCTGTGAACCAGGAGGTCACAGTTCGATTCCGGTCAAGGGCA